GAAAGCTATGCTCTTGTCGTTTTCTCAGCTACTGCTCTCCTGCACTGCTTTTCATGGGGCGCACTGGGAACATGATGGTGTGGGAAGGGCAATTTCTTCACTCATCAAGCACTAACTCTTCTGAGCGTGGAGATGCCTAGGCATTTGTTTTGTGTTAGGACATCTCTCTTTGGGAACAGAGCTCATCTGCGCTGAGCTTCAGTTCCCTTCTGCTATTTGTTTGAGGAGAAGAATAGCCAATGGGCCTTTAATAATTACTAAGTTTCATTTTTTTGTTCTTTGATGATTACTCGTCATGTTTATCTTAAATATAATTTCTTCCTTTTTCTCCCTATGAGTGAATACTCTATTCCAATAATTCTTTCTTACTTTTGAGAAGTACCAGATGGAAAAAAAAAACTATACATTTATAAAAACACTTAATTGTTTCCTCCTCTTTCTTTTCTTATTTATCAGTATTTCTGTGTTTGCCATTATTTTGAAGATGCCAAATATTTAATTGGAAGCAATCTAAAACTTGTTTTGCTTTGAGAAAAGAAACGGGATGTTTCCTTTTCCCTGTCTTTTGGTTAGTTTTGATCTTCAGATCCAAATGGAATCACAAGTCGGGAAAACCCCCTTGTTCAGCTCCACCTCATTCTCAGATGTCCCCGCTCACTTGCTGTTCCCGTGTGTTTGGCCTGCCTTTGTCTGTTCTTCCCCTCCTACCCATCCACCCCTGGGTCCTCTCCCAGCTGGTGGTGGACCCTGGCGTAGCTAGAGCTGCTGCATCCCTTTGGCGTCTTTCTCCCCAGCACAGCAGGTGAGTCACTGTCCTGCTTCAACTCCTGCCTAAACACGGTCCCGCGTACTCGTGCCAGAGTCGCAGTGACTCAGCATCCCCTCTTCTTTCATGTATGACTTCAGTGCAGTCTCTAGAAGCAGTTAAAGAATCTGTATGATTTTAGCATTTTGTTTTACTTGTTCCTTGGCTCAGCGCCATATTCTCTCTGAGAAAAACGGTCTCTATTCAAACTCAAAATATTTTATCCTTCATTGTACAATGATAATAAAATAAAATGAGTTATATATACATTTATGTGACAGAGCTAATTCATAAGAGTATTTCAATATTACCATTTTCAAAAGGGCATTCACTAGTAATACTAAATTCAAGTCTTTGGTATGGTGGCCATCTTCACGGAGTGGCCCTTTTACCAGTGAAATATTTATCTGAGCTTCTTCATGTGTCTGAGGGCCTAGCAGACGGGCCCAGTCACAGCACGTTCTAGGCTGTACCTGCCCAGCACACCAGCTGAGGGGGCAGATGGGGGTCCAGCCCACACACTGCTTGGTGTAGAACACATCCAAAAGGTCACCTCTTCCTGGTCCCCAGAGGGGACTAGGCAGCCTTGGCTGCCACAGCTTGCACTGTTCTGCTTGCACTGCTCCAGGTGGGTCAGGCATTTGCTGAGCCCCGGCCTGGATGTGTGGGGTTCCAGGGCCCCCTCATCTGCAGCCCAGAGTTCTGTGAATTTTTTGAGGAGCCACAGCACATTGCTCGTTTGACAGGACAGGCTTTTCTTTCTGACTTGAATGAGCTCAACGCTGGGCTATAAACTCAGCACACTTCTCCTGGGTTGCTTGTGCACAAGGTCTGCCTTGAGACGGGAGACTGGCTTTCTCTGAAACTGTGGTGAATGATTCACATAGGAGAAATTCCACTTGTGTTTCTAACTTGTCACACTCACCTCAGTCTGGGCATAAACATGTAGTTAGGCAGACTCGGTCCATGGCCGTGTGATTATGCGTCATGAAGAAGCAGAATGTTCCAGTCTGAAAGAAGGACATTCCGAAGGCTAGCATCCTCTTCTCTGTGGTTCTCTCCAATGCAGCCTTCTGCCACGGAGGAAAGAAGATCCTTCCTTTACCTTCTTTTCCTCTAGTTATATTCCAGCGTCCAGGGAGGACCTAGTGGTGCTGGGTGGTGGCGTGTATGAGAGCCCTGAGTACGGCCACAGAGATCTCACAGGTGGAGTTTCTGACGGCACGTTGAAAGCTCCTCACGGTTAAAAAACTAAAGGGGCACACACAGAACTGTGTGCCTTGCTGTGAGCCTGCCTTCATCCCTTGTAGCCTTGTCTCGTGCTGTGCAGCCCCAGTTTTGAGAAGAACGCAGTGTCGTGGTACCACCCACACGGCCATTTATTTCATCGATTTGGATGGCTGGCACTGCTCTTGGCCGTGGCCCTGCAAAAGCAAAACCATGGGGTACAGCGGCCTGAGTCCCATCATGAAAACCTTGTACCTTTTCTGAGGCCTGGTAGAGAGAAATGATTTATTTTTTTGCCCTACCAAATAAAACATTCTAGGAATCCAAGGTGAAAATTGGATTTTAACTGCTACTAAAATTTTGAGCATATGAAATCAGCAAGTGTTGAGAGCTTTGCTTGATTAAGAGAAGAACCTAACGAGTTGTGTTCAAGAATCATCAACATGGGTGGGCACTGGTGTCTCCCGGAAGTCCGACTGGTGCAGCTGGAAGGAAACAGGAGGCAGCAGAACGCAACAGTGGAGAGCTCCGTGTCCTTAAAAAATTTTTTTTTTTCTTTAAGAAGTTTTTTTTCAATTATAGTTTACATTCAATATTACTTTCTGTCAGTTTCAGGTGCACAGCACGTTGGTTAGATAATCATATCCTTTACAATGTGTTCCCTCTGATATTTCCAGTACCCACCTGATCCCATACACAGTTAGTACAGTCGTATTGACTGTATTTCCTATGCTATGCTTTACATCTTCACGACTACTTTGTAACCACCAATCTGTACTTCTCAGTGCCTTCACCTTTTCTTATCATAGCCACTTGTTTCTAGTCTTATGCCTGGAGCATTGCTTCCTCTTCCCTGCTCCTTGCTTTGCATTTCAGACTTACGCCTTCTGTGATCACGCTGAGGGTGCCTCGGCACTGCCTGTGTCCAGCCAGTACATGTCTTCTCCATTTCGGTCACGTGTTCCCTCTCCCTCTCTCTGTCAGCATGCACCAGTTTTGGAGAGCAGACAACTTCCTGCTGGAATCATTAAAAACCATAAAAGAAAAACCTAAAGCCTTCAAAGCTGGGATGTAACTAAAACTTCATTCACTGTGCTGGCCACCTCTGGTTTTGTTTCACAATTCGGACACGTGGAGCCTCAGGCTGAGTGCTGCATGGTGCCGGGACCTGGTGGAAAGAGGCCTGCCAGGGGACTGGGCTCTACCACCTGCCGCCCTTCGAAGGCGCACCACCTGCCCGGACTTCCTGCCACACTGTCCTGCTCACTAGCCTCTGTGCACTTGCTCATTTCCATTGGTTTTCTAAGAACCCTCACTTGCCTGGACGGACGGCAGGCAACTGGTTTGTTCCTCCCTTCCTTCATTTACTGAACGCCTGTGATGTGCACTGTGTATTGGGATGGAAAGATAAATGAGATGCATCTATGTCTAATTAAAATGCATTTTGGAGGCTGCGGGACTGTGTAGAAAGTGCCGTGGAGAAAAGAGGACGTAGCAACTCGCTGATGCTGAGACTTGAGGCTTCCCATGGTGGTTCTTCAGAGTTGGGGCTCACGAGATAAAGGAAGTTACTCTGGGCAAAGAAAAAAAGGAGGGCCATCAGAGAGAGAAGAGACAACTTTTGGAAAGACTTTAGAAAACTGTCGTCCTTCGATGTGCCTGAAGCATGAGTGTAGAGAGGTGAAGCGGGACAGAGAGAAAGTCAGAAAAATTGTTTAAGGCAGGAGTAGGAAGAATCTTCTATGTCAGGGGTCCCCCACCTCTGGGCTGTGGATGGGTACCTGTTAGGAACCAGGCCACACAGTGGGAGGTGAGCTAGAATGTAGTGCACTTGAATCATCCTGAAACTACCCCCCTCTCACCACCCCAACTCTGGTCCGAGGAAAGATTGTCTTCCATGACACCTGTCCGTGGTGCCAAAAAGGCTGGGGACTGCTGTTCTATGTCATGCCAGGGAGCTTGCAGTTTGCAGACAGTGGCAGTCACTGAAGGTGTTTCATCGGTAGAGGAGTGTGATCGGATTCATCTTTGGAAACATGATTCTTGAAACCGCTGAGAGGGTTTTATAGAGGCTGAGGCAGATGAAGGCCGAGGGACTGACCACTGAGATGTGGGGTGTGGACACCTGCCTCCTGCCCTGCCCCCACACCCTGCACAGCTGCCCTCAGGATTGATACACAGAGTAGGGTCGGTTTCCTTAGACCTTTCCCACGCCCACTGAGTTGGTCTCACTTCAGGCCCCTGCCTCTCCGCCTCTTCTGACCGCCCGTGATTGGCCAAGGTCATGGAATGGATATTTACATTTGACAGCTTGAGTTATTTCAGGAGCCTCTGAGCCCTGCTTTTCTGCCTCCTGGTCTTGTTTAAACCTGCCGGTGTCTTCCTAGCTTGGTGGACCTCCCTGGGTCAGACCACTTGGCTGCCTGGAGCCTTTGTCTCTGCCAGAGCTGACCTGGCTTGGCCAGTGACCATTTCTTGTATTGTCCTCCCCTGTTCTTCCCCTGCCCAGGCCATGTTATTATAAGAAGACCAGAAGCCTATTGTAAATGGGGTCTGTGCCGCCTTCTCAAGGTTCACAGACCCTCCATGCCCTTATAGCTCTGATGATCCCCCACAGAAGCGATGTCAACAGATAGTTGAAACTAAAATTGTAAAAGTTTATATTGATCTTTTAGTTTTTGGGTTTTGTTAAGACAAAAGGCACTGGAAACAAGTTTTACAAAGTGCCCCGAACAGGGACAAATTTTCATAAGACTCTAGCAATGCTGAGACACTCTGGAAAATATGCTTGTTCATTTCAGTGTCACCCTTATTCTGCTACAGTGTTTAGTTTTGATGTTTTAGAGGTCCCCTCCAATTCTGTTGATAACAACAGAACCGTTTTTGTAATGTGGCTGAAACACAGCTGTGCCCTATAGCCGGGCACCCAGCATTCAATTAACCTGCATGTACACCCCTGTCGTTGCAGTGTGGCAAAGCGCTCCCCGGCCTCTCCAAGCAGGAGGACTGCTGCGGAACCGTGGGCACCTCCTGGGGCTTTCACAAATGCCAGAAATGCCCCAAGAAGCCATGTAAGTGACATTTCCTCATTCCTTTGCAGGCTCATGGAGCGTATCTGTTTCCTTATGACTGCCGTTTTCACGGTGAGACATTACACTTTCAAGGAACTCTCCTTGAATTGTAGAACACTGTGCAATAATTCGCATTTCCAGAAACCTTATGGATCGCAGAGGAGTTTCAGACCCATTCTGTTTTTTAAATAAGTACGGTTATCAGTTGCCTTCTTCAGTTGGATTGCATATGTTTTAAAAAGTCTTTTAACATGCGAGGTGCTAAAGAAAACAGGCTCTGTTTTCTCAGGTGAAGAGAAAATAAGATCGTTCTTAAAATGAGATAATTATTAAATGTGTCATTCCCTCTAAGAAGTCAGTGCAGTTGTGATTTCTTAGGTCAAAGTCGGTGACTGCTAGTGGGGAGAGAGGTGAGCAGAGATGGAAGAAGGGGATTAGGGGGATAAATGATAATGGAAAAAATACAATAAAACACAAAGAAAAGAATAAAGTTCTTAAGTGAGATTTTTAACAGCCACAACTTCTGTTGTAGGTGTTGTTATACTCTAAGTGTTCAATATTCAGGTAAAAAAAAACAGCTCAGATGAAGAAATGATTGACTGCTGATTGGTAAAGGAGAAACTTGTAACGACTAGGACATAGTACTTTCCCCTTTCCTTCCTGGTCATGCCTTCACACCGTCACAGTTCTCAGTGACCTCACTCTGTACTGACACCCACACGCTTTGACTAGTCTGTAAAATCCACTTTCCAGAACATGTTCATTTGAGTAAGTCCAGATTTACATCTTCCTGCTCTTTTATTCTCAATTATAGTTTGTATTTTTAGTTTTTATATGTAGTATTAACTCTGGGAGACTGATTTCTAATATATTTTTTAGAAAGACAAAGATAACTTGATTTAAGTAGAATGTTTTTACACTTATTCGTCATGTTTTTTCAAGAAAGCAAGTGATAGTTTTCTCAGTCATTTTTCTTCACCTCATAAAGCTGAAGATTTTTATAGTTTTTTAAAAATACTTTATGCTGCAAGGAATTTCTCATTTACTGCAACTGGATCATTTTTGTTTGGTTTGGTTGATATTCTCAACCAAATCTGCCTCTTAGCCTCGCTGCTCCTTATGTTTGTCTTATAAACTATTCTTTCATTCTAATAATTTGTTTTAAATAATTGTCTCTCATCTGGACTTCCTTGTCTCTCAAACTTACCTGTTCTCTAAGTCTTTGGATGCCTTAGAGATAATTTTGCTTAGTATCACTATTTTGTTTGTATTACTGTCTTCTCTTAGAGGACTGATTTGCAGAAACACCCACTAAAGTTTCTGATAATCAATGAATTCTTCAGTCAGGGGGAAAAGTCACACAAATAAGGACATCGAGTACTACAGGATGTCCCCAGTGGACTCCACACGCTGACTCGATAGTGATGGACAGTGTGGATTTCCAGCGGGTGGGTTGAGTGTGATGGTCCCTCTCCGCTGAAAGATCCATTTGCCTAAAACCGTGTGGAGAAGCTGTTGAAGGGCTATCTAGGAGACACGTGACACTGTTTAAAGCGTGTGGAGTTTGGATTAGGTAGCCCTGAGTTAGACTCCCAGCTGTCATTTGCTCTGGGAGTCTGTATCTAAAACGTTGGAAAACATTGCCTTTTTTTTTAACTGCCTGCCCTTCGCTGACCGTGTACGTGTGCGGGTGCTGTGGAGGGTGGCGCGTTTCCCGCCGCTCGGTCTAGGGCTGAGGGAGAGGAGTCCGGTGCTCACAGCTTTGTTTCAGGGCTAAGTTTTTGCTCTCTGATACCTTTTTTCATCTTATACCTTATTTATCTTTTTTTAGTTTCCCCCTTCTCTATAAATCTTTTGCTTAGTTTCTTATCTTTCCTCTCTTTTCTAAATCCCCAAATTGCAAGACAGAGGTAAGGGGAATTGTAAGTTTTTTTTTTCCTGCTTGTTTTTGCTTTTGAATCCCTAACTTCCACTCCAGACCTTTTTATCTTTTTAATCTAGAATTGTGTCATCCGGGGATGAATTCACGGTTTTATAGGGTTTTGTTGGCTCTATAGTTTGACAAATTGAGGGAGAATGTGAAAGAACAAAGTTGCTAACACTTTAAAGGCTGATGAACGTAAACTCATATGTTGGCTTAAACTGATGAGATCGATCCACTTTAGGAAGGACAGTGAGGACCATGAATGAAGTAAATGCTTAACATCTTGACATTTATTTCCTTTGTGCTGAACCAAGTGACTCACTCTCGAGAAACTCTCTCGGGGTCGCATTCTTCCTGTGTCGTTTAGAAACTTTCCTTTCCTCGGTTGGTACTGCTGTCTGAATCGGGCTCCTTTGGAAGAGAGCAGACTCTCCGTGGCTTTCCATGCTCTGGTTCTGTGATCCGTGTCTTCGTTTGCACTCCAAGTGGTTCAGCCCTCAGTTTTCACGTGGCTTTTCTTCAATTTCTGTTGAAGGTTTTGTTTAGCCCCGTACAGAAAGACCTTTCATTGTTGATCAGGTTTTACTGTGAAAACTTAATTTTAAATCTGCAAATGATTTCATTAAATCATCTGTAATCTATTAAAAAATATACTTAACATGAGCAAGTCTCTTGTCCTGTAAGAGATTTTAGAAGAAAATTAATACTGAGTCCTGGGCTGGGAGCACTTTAGATCATCTGCCTTGAGGTAGATGACACTGACACTTCCGGGACAAGTTGCTGTCCCTCTCTCGCCTTTGAACAGTTCACAGACCGAGAGCCCACAGTCCCTGCAGGCGGTCTCCTCCGGTGTGCCTTTGTTTTTTTGGGAGAAGACGAGACATTTGGCCAAGGAGTTGAATGGGGCTACTCCCAACAAGCTGGCCTCTATTTTTCTTTTTAGCTCACTAATCTAAGACCTCTCACTGTAACCACTCCCTGGGATTCTGAAGGGTCTGAAGACAGGGGGAAAGTATGGCAAAGAAAGGAAATGGAGGAGGGAGAGGAACAACACTAGTAAATAGTCACCCTGCCCCCTTAGTGCTAAGAATAAAGAACTTGTGTTAGGGGCAAAATAATTTTATTTTCCATAATACCGTTGTGTGTGTGTGTGTGTGTATGTTGTGCTTTTACTGTAGCTTTCCCTTTTTACTCGTCCTTCAGCTCTTGTACTAGTGTAACCTATTGTGATTATGCCCCATTTTCTGCTGCTCATTACTTTTTAAAAAATATTTATTTATTTACTTTCAGAGATAGGGGAAGGGAAGGAGAAAGAGAGGGAGAGAAACATCAGTGTGCCAGAGAAGCATCATCAGTTGCCTCTCACATGCCCCCAACTGGGGACCTGGCCCACAAACTGGCATGTGCCCCGACCGGGAATCAAACTGGTGACCTTTCAGTTTTCGGGACAATGCCCAACCCACTGAGCCACACAGTCAGGGCTGCTCATTATGTTTTTAATAAAAGAATGCCTCTTTTCAGGAAATAACAATGACATCTGTCATTTAGTGAGTGCTTGCATTTGTCTGCACTGTTGCAGACATTTGCATAAATGATCTCTAAGCTCCACCACAACCGTGACATGCTTGGTAGACGTGATACTCTCATTGTACAGAATTGCCACTTGAAACCCAGGAAGCTTGTTTCCCAAGGCTGCAGAGCTATTGATAGGCAGAGCCAAGATTTGAGCCTACGTTTGCTTGGTCCCAGAGGTTGTGTTATATCAACTTTGTCGCTCATGTTTCACTTTAAAGTGTCCAAGTTTCAGCGAATAGGGTTTTATTGGCAAGTTGGTGACTGCAACATTTGTATGGTCGATGAGTTTTCTGAGTGGTGAGCCCACACAACTGATCACAGGAGCCTCCTAGCTTCTTATCATCGCCTCCTGTTCTTTCCAGGTTCACACTAGTAAGAATCAGCTTATAACTCAAAAATGTGATCCTGCAGCTAAGACGAGCCTATAATGTACTGTCTAAACTGGGACACTTTCGAGAGTGAAATGGAGTGCTGTTAGTGATCTCTGCTGGAACAGCAGGCATAACTCAGGGCTGTCCCAGGCAGACCCTGCCTGCGATAAGAAAATTCAAATGCCTGTAGCAAATCTTTGGGGAGGAAGCTGTCCTTTGTCATATAAACAAGGAATCACTAATGGGAAGAAAATATAAAACAGTTTTATGATTCTTTTGTTTAACATAATCAGCATTTACTGACAAATAATTGGGGCTATATCTAATGCAAAATATGAAGTGTACTGAAAAACAAGGATAATGTGAAAGAAATGAATACACGCTGAACTGGTATCTTAGAAATGAGTAAGACCACTGCTGCCTTAAGTGGCTTTGGTTATCACACATACTAGTTTAGGATTGTAAGAATTTAAACTATGCACGTAACAAAGAATTATTTCTTCTCTTACAGCTTATCACGGATATAACCAAATGATGGAATGTTTACAAGGTTTTAAGAGGGTTAACAACACCTTTTGTCAAGGTAAGGTTAACTGGATTCATTGGTATGGACTCAACAGTTGTTACGGCTTTTCAGAAACCTGAGCTGTTTTGCCACGCTTTGCTCATTCAGCCCAGCTGGTGAAGGTCATGCAGCAAACCGCCTCCTGCTCACCCCGTTTAGCCACGTGTGAATATAGAGGTTCAGTGTATGGTTGCTAGAATTGCTTCACTACCATTTAAACTTTATGGAACTTTCTTTCCTCCTATTACTTTGTAATGAAATACACAGGAGACTAGATTACATCACAGATCACTTGGTGGTCTCCATGCTGGTCACTTCCTGTCCCTGCATGGGCACATGCATGTGCACGTGTGAGCACATACATGTACCTAGCAGTACTGCTTATTTGCTGACACATGACTCAGCAGCAGAGTCCCCCTTTTTTCTCTCAGACTATTGCTGGCCACCTCAAAGTATCCGGGCATTAGACAGCAGAGTGGACACATGTTAAGTAGGCAGTAGGTAAAGCTATGTAGCTAAATGTGAACCATCCAGGGTGCTTCTGCTCAGCTTATTTTGAACCTATAGCAGAGATCATTATAAGCAGGGTGAGCCGCAGAGTTCGGCTAGCCCAGGGTCAGTACTTCACAATGAATGAATAGATGGCTAAATGTATACATTACGGTGTGAACCACATCACAGTGTCACAGATTTGGATGACAATCTGTATGGAAAGCCCAGCCCTATTTTAGGATGCATTGATAGAAGCAAAATGAGCAGGGCTTTAGAAGCAATGACCTTGTACTCTGCCAGTGAGACTGAATTTGGGGTTTGGGTATTTGGTGTTCATTGTCTTTCGGCTAGTAAGGTCAGCCAAGCCTGTGAAGGGCCTGGAGACCTGAGAATATTTGGCTAGGAGAAGTGCAGACCAAAGAGAACTCTAATGGCTGATTTATAAACATGCCTTCAATATTTGTAAATGCGCCTTTAAACGTTTGATTAACTGTCTTACAAACAAGGCTTTTATGAGTTGCTTCAAAAGCCAAAGTCCATAGAGTGGTGTTACAGGGGGCATGGTTACAACTGCAAGTCATTTCTCCTGCGGAACAGAGTCCCCCACATTGTCCTGAAGTGCCAAGGGCAGTGCTGAGCTTCCTGCACGTGGAGGTCCGGTGGGTACTCTGCTGTTGGCCAGGGAGGCTTTGGGGAATTTCTGTCTCCTGCCGTACCTAAGGTTAGATGACTCTGGAGGTACACTTCCCTGATGCTGTCATTACTCTGTCTCCTGGGACAGAGGCTGTGCATGACAAGAAAGAAGCGACATCTTGTCTGCCAGACAAGGTTTAGCCCCCAAGCCTGTAGTTTCCCGAAGTGTCCCCTGGGATTACGCTTGTCTTCTTGCTCTATTAGACTGCAGACAGAGGGGAGTCCTTCATCATCCTTCTCTGTTATAACCCTTCACGGCCAGTTGTTAGCGATGCTCCAGAGTGTCAGATGGTCCTCATTTTCCCGGGGGTTAAATGCTGAAGAATATACATGTTTTCCTGGGGTGGGCTAGGATTTGGGCATTATCAATTGCAATTAGAAACCAAGGTATAGAGAGTAGCTTTCTGAGGGTCATGTAGGTAAAAAGAGGCCCAGCCAGGATTCAACTTGCAAACCACCTGTTTCTGTGTGCAATGTGGCCTCCTTTCCAGTACACACACACACCCACACACCCACACACCCACACGCATGTATGTATGCATCTGAGAAGTATCACTAATATGGATGCTAGCTAACTGCAACAGAAGATATACCATGTGTGGTGGACTTAATGTTATAGAAGTCAAAGCAATTAACATTTACTTGGTTTTGTTTAATAAGAAAGGGAGATTATCTAATATATTCTTTCTACTGGCTGGTTCAAGATTCTAAGACTTCCTATTTATAAAAATTCTGTAGAAGTAGAAGTGAAAATTTGCAAGTAATCACTTGCTGTCTCATTTAACAAAAGTAGAATGGAGACTCTTTTAAATACTTGCTTGAGGGCTTTTTTTTTTTTAAATTTCCCCCTCCTGGTATGGCTGGTATGAAGTGACCTTCAGCCAGCTCTGTTCCTACGGAGCGTAGCAGGCGGCTCCTCCTCAGTCATTTGCACCGATGGTCAGTCACACCAAATCCCGGCTTATGGTTGTCTCTGGCGGCTATTGGCAAAAAACAGTGTTATACTTTTTGGCATGGATTCTGAAGTAAAGTATCACAGAAAATTCTATTTCATGGTACCTCAAAAAGGCACCGCTAAATTACACTGCAGAGAAGATTGACTCATAAAATAATATGATTTCATTCCGTATAATCTATTTAAATTGCTTGTGAGAGTAGGGCTTAATTTCACTCCCTTTGTGATATAATTGGTCAGTAAAATTAAATAGGACTTTCTCATGTTACATGTGTACACTCAGTTCTCCTCGAGCCTTAAAGCTTTTTGACTCTGTTATCCTGAAGTTTTCAAAGGGAGCCCATTCAGCATTCCACACTGTTCTCACAGTTAAATGTCTCCTCGGTTTACCGAGCACATTTACAATTAAAATGATTAATAACTAGAATTACATTATTTCCTTCAATGAAGTGCACTAATGTTCCTGATACAACTCTCACTAATGTGCGCTCGGTAACAAAGAACCAACTGTGCACAAGTTAATTTGAGGAGCTTTCAAACCCCTGCCCTCAAAGCTGGTTTTTTTCTTCTCTCTCACGGTGCTGCAATTATCTTTTCAAATGAATGATTTATTACATATACACACAGGGGGCCCTGAAACCTGCCTCACTACCCTCAGCGTTACGGAGTTGTTATAATTTGCTTATTTCTCATAACAAACAAAACAATTCTGTTTTCTCATGCATCTAGAGTGGCATTTGTCATTTGTCACTTGATTAGTATGCTACTGGTCTGATATTGAATCGGAATTAAATGAAAGAATATATCATGGCAGTGATGATAATAGGAACCTCTTATGTTCGTACTGTTTTACTCTAAAATTAAGTTTTCCCCTGAATGTTGAATACTCTCACCTGCCTGTAACTTTGCCATGAGATGAGTTATTAAATTAGGTATAAATCTAAGTTTTTAGAGTAGAATTTGTTTCAGACAATACGTGGGGACCAATCTATTTAGTGAAACCTTTTATTAAAAGCAAATATGTCTTTCAATTTACTAAAATCATATACTTGGTTCGTGACTGTGTGGGTATAAAATCAACTTAGTATTCTTTTCTACATTTTTAGCATGTGTCCAGGTGCTGAGGGTAGTGCCAAAGTGTACAACTAGAAGGCGTCCATACTTCTGTGTACCGGTATACATGTATTCCATGTTTGTGGATAGTCTTGAGAATTCTTAAAAGTATGCAGTATTTACAACACAAACATTAATTGGCAGGGCCCTCTCAAGCTGCAGACCAAGCGTACGTAATGAATGATGAATAAGCCACCGTTCCTGCCCTTGGACTTAGTGTAATTAAATCAGCTTGAATCAGCAGGATGTAATTTGCTTTATTCACTGTCCCAACCAGCTGAATTCGAGCTGGCTCCCGAGGAGCCTGTGAAAGCAGATATGAAAGAGCTGTCCACGTGGATTTCTTTTGCCGTCACTTTATCACACTGGTTGTTCTGCTTTAACGTAATGCATTTACAAAACAGATACATTAGGGCACAGTAATGCCCATTACCAAAACTTCTACTGTAGGGCTCCTTTTAGATAGCTCCTCAAAGTGCATCTGAAATCGGATTTTATTTGGACATTAGAAAGAGATAATGCCTGCTTTTTTCCAAGGGCCTATCTCTGACATGAAATGAGACTCAACAGTCTTGATTAATAGTCTATATGAGTAAGCCATTCATAGGACTTTCTGGTTACGAAGGGCCCGCCTGAATTGTAGCTTGCCTTTCAGACCTCTTAATGATTACCAGACAAACTGATTGTGGCTGCAGCATGGTGAGCACATAAAGACTGGTCTCTGAGTATCTTAGAAGACTAGAAAGTGCAGGCGAGCCCCTCAAGAAAACCTACTTGGCTGGAGAAAAGAATGTGGCCTATAGCATGGTGCAGGTTGGGTAAGACAAAGTGCTTCATAACTTTCAGGCAAGGCTCCTATGATTGATTGCATGTACCATGTACAATAGAACAGGCTTTGCGATGCATGCTGGGAAATAGACTGCTTTTAACATGGAAATGTCCAAAGGCCATTTATGACAACATCTTGCATATTTAAAAGAAAATGCATTTATGGCTTAGACAACTCATCACTTTATAATTATTTTAAAGGTATAATGTAAATATAGAAAGGGTTTTTTTAATAGAGTTAATAGTTACATGAACTTACCGCCATTTTACCAGTTTTTGCTGTCAGTAGAGTTTCTTATATCCTGTGTTTGCTTGCTGGGTTCACATTTTCTTTTGAGGTAGGTTTGCAAGATAAAATATAGGAAACCAAGTTAAATTTTAATTTCAGATAAATAGTAAATAATTCAGGATATACTTATGGTAAAAGACATTCATTTTTTATCTAAAATTCAAATTTAATTGGGTATCCTGTATTTTGTTAAATCTGTATTTGTAGTTATATCCTTTAACAGTTTTTTTAATGAGACTCACTGAGAAGTGTGTACTTTATGTGTCTGAAAACTTCTTTATTTTGAGCTCCTTTTATAATGATACTGCTCAGGCGTACAATTCTAGGTTAATGGTTGTTTTTCAACAGTAATTTTGATTGTTATGCTGATATCATTTGGCTTTTGGATTTTTGATACTTCTTTCTTTGTAGATAATTTGTCTTGTCTCTCTTTTGAGATAGTCTCTTAATTCTCTATGTTCTTTAGTTTTATCATGATGTGTCTCCATGTGGATTTATGTTGATTTTTACCCAGTAGACTGTACATTGTCAATGGGAAGATTCACGTGTTTCCTGAAATTTGAAGATATTATCTCTTAAAATACTGCTTCTCCACACTGCTTTTAGCTGCAGTTCCTATTAGACAAGTATTGGAGCCTCGGTATTTTT